GGGCGGCCTGCAGGCTGGGCTGCCTTGCTCCCAGCTCGGCAAGGTCACGCTGCGTTGGGCTTCTGCGTTAGCACGTTGCGTGGACCGGAGTTCGTATTCCAACAGACGAGAGGAGCGGCGTGCTTGCCGTTGCTGTTAACCTTTCCCCGAAGGCTGACAGCAAAGAGCCTTCCCTGCGGATGGCTCAGCCTGCCCTTCCTTGTGACAGCAAGGACTGATTTCACAGGGTCCAGCTACAAATATACCTTTGTGTCTATCTAGATATTCTCATTTGAGGTTGATTTGGTTCATTTAAGTTGAAAAAATTTATGTATGCACAACTATTGAAATACGTTATTTTTATCTGAAGAACTTATATATATATATTGCATAATATATATATTTTGCTGGTTGTTGATAGAGATATGACAAAGTTTGCTCAAGTTTACTCACAATACAAATACCTGTCTGTGTGTGCATGTGCTCACGCAAGCACACACGCTTTGGACAGGGATAAATAAGCCCACATTGTTTTCTTTCTTGCGTTTATACATCTGAATTTTATTACTGCTTAGCAAAAAAATGCCCCCTGTGCAAACGTTTTGTTTAGAATGTGTCACTTAGCACAGGTATTCAGAAAGCATCTTAATGACCGTTTTGGTGACACTCTTAATGATGAGTCTAAGTCTCTAAGTCGTTAGGAATTATATTCTTGTGTCCTTTCTGAAAATGAAATGTCATCTCATGGGTCACAGCTTGGAAAGTGTCATTTGTAATTTTTCATAGTTGTATGGCAGTACAGCTGTAGGAAGAAAAATACCAGTGAACTATAGACACATTTATTAAAGGTACATGAGTTCTGAGAAAAAAAAAAAATTATATCACGTCTTCTGTCCCTCTCACCACTCAATTTGTGGTTTCATGCCTGTATAGTGAATTAGTTTTTTAATCCTAGCAGCACACCAAGCACTGAAACTGTACCAGTCACAAAAGAGACCGAGTTTCTGCTGAGATATCATGCTGTTTTATTTATATGTTGCCCCTGAGGTCTGGATGGTGGTGGTAATTAAAGGTGAGATTGGGCCGCCTTGGCTCATGCCATTTGGGGCTTCACTTGGCCAGTAGCCCCACGGGAAGCAGCAGGGAGTAACATACTCCTTGGTGTGAACCAAGGTGACAGAATACGGTCCCCAGAGCCTTTTTGTGATGGTGTGCTGATGTCTTCTGTTGGCAAGGATTAGTGTTTCCAGGTCTTGCTTGAGTGGAGGGAGCCGTGGAAGCAGATAGGAATGGAGAGCAGGTCAGGCACCAGGCTTGCTTGCGGGGGGAGAGCTCTATGCGTAGGGGCTGCTGATACTCAAACAGAGGGTTTTCCCCAGAGAGCCAGAGCAAGAGTTCGTTATTTTTAATTTGGACAGGACAGGTATAGCTCTGGCCAGAAGCAGTTGCCGATCAGTGAGCTGGACTTCTGCGCCTTTCGTCCAAATGCTCAGACAACTGTCCCACCGCCCGTTCCTGGAGTAGGTGTCCGCGTGTCCTCCCGTCGCCGCTCTGCGTGAACGCCGGCCTGACTGCGTTTGGCAGCTGCAGGCTGCCTGTTCCCTGCGCAGGGGGTGCCTGGGGCGGTGGGGGGGGGGGGCTGCGGTGCAGGGGCAGGCTGGGGCTGCCTGCGACGGCAAGTCAAGCGGCCGTCCATGCCTGCGCTAACAGCTGACTAAGGCTGTGACAAGCAATGCAGATTACGAGCTGGTTGTGCTGCACGGGCAAACAGAAGGCCCTTTATTTCTTCCTTCATAGGGCAAGGCTTTCTCCTGAGAAGAGAGAGTGGGAGTAATCCTTCTTTCAGACACAAAAAGGCTCATACCTTCTCTTGGTTTTAAGAAACTCAGCTGTTTTACAGGCTGTAAAACTCGAGCTTATTCGCAGGAAAGCCAGGGCTTAAATGATGTTGGATGAGTTGTATTAAGAAGTTATCCACTGTAACTTCTGCCTGCCACCAGGGCATGCCCGTCGTGGCATGTGTAACAGGGTTTGGTCTTGAGGGAGTTGGTGTTCAGTTCTCGGTGTTGCACGCTGGGCGTCTAAACTTTGTCTTGCCAAAAATCTTGGGTGGGTTTTGAAAATCTTGGGCTGTGGAAGGTTTTTTATTTGTCCTCTGCAAAATTAAAGCACCCCAGCAGAGGACCAGCATACCATACTTTGGTTTATGGGAATATGTGTTCTTACAAAGGAGAAGATTGCCTGTGCTGTTTCATTCGGTGCAATACCAAGCGCAGGAGGTTGCTGATCAAGGAAGTTGAGGTGCACCAGCGTAGCTCTTCCCTCTCACCAAGCCTGGCTGTTCTGTACTTCAGTGTCTGCGGGTTTCTTGCCTGATGTTAGCAGCTGTGCCTGGGAGTGTCACGTGCGTATCTACTTTAGAAAGAGGGTTTGAACCAAGTTCATCCAAACTGATGTGGGGAGGGGTAAAGCACAGCCCCGTGGCAGACCCTGCCCCACAGGAGACTGCTGACCCCATGCTGCCTCAGCGCTGCTGGGGACCACGCTGAAAAGCTGCCGAGCCGCAGTTTTGGGGGGGGATCTGCTGCAAGGGAGCAGCTCCATCACCGCGGGCTGTTTCTGAGGAGGAGGTGGACTCTCCTGCAGTCGGCTTGTGTGAGGCTACAGTCCGGCTACCCAGTGACATCCCCTCCACCACCTCCGCTCAGACCGGTCTCAGCCCTCAGACTGTTTACGCCTGCTGCTTTCTGACGCGAAGGGACAGCAAAGTGCAGGAGCTTTATCGCAGGGTTCAGTGTGCAAGGGGCACGTAGCACTCGATGCTAGCAAGGAAGGTCTCTTCCTGATAACTTTCCTTCACCTCCAAACTAAAATGCTGTCAAACTTCTCAACACTGTTAGATCAAAGGGATATCTGTGCCAAGCTGCTGTCTGCTACTATGCAGATCAGGCTTTGTATCACGGCTTTTTTGAGCTTGCTTTCCCATGAACCCCAAAATATCTGTACAGCAGCGCACCGGCAGTGCGCGTTAACTAGCAACCAACAGCGGCATAGTGGAACGATGTAGTTTCATTACAGCTCACAGAATTTGCATTGGATTAAAATAGCTTAGATGTTTTCACCAGCATTGTCTTCAATTCTTTTTCTCCCTCCCTTTTCTGCCTCAGGCAAAAAATGAGGACTGAATGCTGACTAAACCAATTGGACTGAGAAACGCAGGGCTTTTTAATCTTGAGCTTGCAAGGCAGGGGGGCCCCTCTCAGGGCAAATAAAATCCATCGCGAGGTTTTCATTCTGACTGAGCTAGCACAGACTGCCCAATCAGGAGGTGATACTGTCTGAGTTGTGCTGTGAGAAAACCTCCAGTCAAAGGCACTTGGATCCTCTTTGGTGTAAGAAAATGGGGAAAATGCAGAGAAACGTGAAGGAGTAGGAGACAGCGAAAGAAAAGGCGAAGAAAACAGATGATAAGCCTGTGACGTTAGCGAGATCAGCAGTAAATCCGCGGAAACATACGGAATCGGAAAGAGTTTTATGGTTTGGGCTGATTTTTACAGGGTTGTAATAAGCACAATAACTTGCTGTAAAGTAATTTTTACAATCATGGGAACCATATTTCATCTTCTAATTAAAAAGGAATGTTTTTTCAGATCACAGGGAGTCTTTTCTAGTGGAGAAAACATTCCAGACCAGCATATTTATTACTTCCACTCGGGAATTTTCTTTCTTCCAGTACTTAGTGTGTATTTAGAAATACTTTGAAATATTTCTGCCTGTCTGAGGATCACCTTTTTCCTGACCCTTTATTTGGAGCCCTCTTTGGAGCATTTGGCGGTGTGTGCGCAGAGCTGAGCTGTGGGGTAGGGAGGAGGAACAGGGGGGTGAAGGGGTCTTCCCACCTGGTCAGGCCACCACTGCACCGTGGAGCATGTGCCAGCCTTGACTACAGTAATAGAAAGTGGTGGTGGTGGAGAATTGCTGCTCTCCGTAGCCCTCCAGACGTATTTATACTTGCTTGAATGCAGATGTAATGGAAGCCAGAATCTCCTTAGCCCTACTCTCTGCAGAGACATTAACTCTTGGTACCAGGTCGGGAAGGTCACTTCGCCTATCTGTCTCAGCTTCTTCATATGTGGGAGCAGTGTTTGTAGTTGACGAGGTTAGTGAACTAATGCCTCCAAAACTCTTGGAAGACAGAGTTGTGCAGACCGTCTTATTTCCACTTGTGTGATCCACTCTGTAACTGCAGCCTATCCCTCGTTGCAGATGGCTTTACCTTGGGTAGAAATTTCAGAAACATAAGTGGACCAGCAGCTGCAGGCTTATTTTGAAAGCTTCATGGAAAGCCTGTAGAACTGCAGCTGGACTGAAGCTGTGCTGAAAATGGGCTCTTCTCAGTTGGATTAAGCTAATTCAGGAAAATGAGGTTTTATTCTGGAGCAAGGGTATCTTCAAGGAGGTTTTGGTGCAAGTAGATCAGGTTAATTATTGTTAATTAGCTATTCCTGTAACTGTCCAGAGGAAATAAGCTGTAAGTCACGTAGTTATTTTTGAAAATGAAAATGTTGCCTGTAACTACCTGGTACTCGTAGGGTGTGATAATTCACACAGCACTGTTTTTGCTCATGGACTTCACCTGGAGCATTTGCAAACACTGAATAAAAAACACCGTGATACTTTCACCCATGCTGTTTGCATGTGAAAGTAGTGACTGCTTTAGGGAACCAAAACTCCCTGTGTGCTGTGCACGGATGAAAACATGGCCTGCTCTGCCTGCTTTGCCAGGAAACACCGAGCTGGGAGGGCCGTGGCGACAGTCAAAGCAAACAGGGTGTCGGGATTCAGACAGAGATTTGCAAACCCAACTTTGCAGTTGTTCCTCATCTCTGTGGGCAAAGTTGTTGTGACCTGGCAGAAATCAGTGTTTTAATCACAATTGTGTTTGCTTATTGGCTTCCTAAAAACATCAATGAAAGAACAGGGGTGGTGCTTCAGTGCTGGGGGGAGCCAGCCTCATACCCACCAAAGGCAGTGGTGTCTGGGTGGACAAATAGCGACGCAAAGCAAATGTGTGTTTTGGTGGTATCGAGCTCCTTAGGCAGTGGCTTTCTATTATGCAAAAATCAGAGTAATAAACCCCACCTTCCCCATCTTGGCACTCACGCTGTTAGGCTGGCTGGGAGTGCTGTGAGCAAGCATCCAACTTCTTGCTCTGGTGACACGGACAGCAGGATTGAGTGCACCCTGAGCAAGTTTGCCGATGACGCCAAGCTGTGTGGTGCAATCAACACGCTGGAGGGAAGGGATGCCATCCAGAGGGACCTTGACGGCCTTGAGGCCACGGCCTGTGTGAACATCATGAAGTTAAAGAACGCCAAATGCAAGGTCATGCACGGGGGTCGGGGCAATCCCAAGCACAAATACAGGCTGGGCAGAGAATGGATAGAGAGCAGCCCTGAGGAGAAGGACTTGGGGGTGTTGATTGATGAGGAACTCAGCATAACCCGGTAGTGTGCACTCCCAGCCCAGAAGGCCAACTGTATCCAGGGCTGCATCAAGAGAAGTGGGGCCAGCAGGTCGAGGGAGGCGATTCTGCCCCTCCACTCTGCTCTGGTGCGCAGGGAAGACATGGACCTCGTGGAGCGGGTCCAGAGGAGGGTGACAAAAATGATCCGAGGGCTGGAACAGCTCTCCTGTGAGGACAGGCTGAGAGAGCTGGGGCTGTTCAGCCTGGAGAAGAGAAGGCTCCAGGGAGACCTTACAGCAGCCTGCCAGTACCTTGAAGGGCGCCTACAAGAAAGCTGGAGAGGGACTTTTTACAAGGTCCTGTAGCGGTA